GGTTTAGGGTTTAGGGTTGCTGGAGTTTTGCGTTTGGGGTTAGTGGCTCTGCGCATTAACATCGTAGGCTGACAGAGGCGCAAATTCCAGAGTGTTTCAGTGATAATGAACTTTGTTCGGGACGAAATTTAACAGAGGTCGGGACAATTGGCAGGTCCCCTTATCGTCCTTATATATATATACACACACATACATATATATATACATACACATACACCTTTATGTGCAATGAAATTGTTATTTGCCGCACATATACCCTTCAAAGCCCTCTCCGAGTGTGACACCGTGCTGTTCACTTTTCCAGGTTCTGCGTTTGCTAACAGTTGTACATCCTCTCAGATCAGTAGTGCTCATGCTGCTTTCACCAAGAACCAGCACTGCAAACGAGCCATAGTCGTTCAGGGTTTAGTGTTGAGTCGAGAGAGGTGCTGAAATCGTCGGTGGGCAAGACTAGCACTAGAGCAGGTCTTACGGAAAACATGAACAATCATGTTCATCGCTGGTCGGAACAGCCACCACGATACCCCAAGAGTGCAAGCCTCCTTGATTACCTTTAGTATCTTGAGCCGTTTGGCGAAGACCATACACGACATGGGCTACCTGGATCCTTGAGCACAGGAACATCGCAAACGAGCCCGAATCCTAACAACCTCATGACAGCCCAAGCCTGGATTTTCATCTCTAATGACCCTAATGCTAGACCTCGGTGCTGGACCTCTGTCTTTTCGGGTTTAGGGCTTGAGTGGTTTTGGACTTGGCCGAATCCCGAAACCTGCAGCATTTCGGTTCCAGGAGCACTCGGCTTAAACTGCGCCATGGACGTTCAGACGCCAGTGAGGAAGAAGCGCAGCAACCATTACTTGGCAGAGACCGCCGAGAAGGATCCGCGACCTACAGCCACAAAGATCGATGAGGCCGATGATCAGAAGCGGATGACCCATGCGAAGGCCTTCTTGGGAAGTTCGTCTTTGTTACCAGGTTGTAGGGCTCTATAGTCATTTAAACTCGAAGAAGCCACGCAGAAAAAAGGCGTCTGAAGTTTGAGAGTAATTAGCCGCCCTTAAGGCCCTGAACCCTAAACCTCTTTAGATCCCTACAGTGCCATGTAGAGTCCTAAAGCCCCCAGCACCTTAAACCCCTCAAACCCTAAAGCCTTAAACAGGATGGCGGGGAGCAGAAGGTCCATCCACAAGAGAAGGACCCGAAGAGCGAAGAACTCCTGGAGCTCGAAATCGAGGTCCCTAACGGGGCGGGGGTGGCGGGGGAGAGCGTTGGGGTGTTAGGGGTTGAGGGTGTTTAGGGGTACGTTTGGGTTGTTGTTTGTTTTTTTTTGTTGGTGGGTTGTAGGGGGGTTCAGGTTTAGGTTTCTGTGCTCTTCGGGTTTAGGGGTTTGAGGGGTGGGTAGAGGGAATTAGACATGGTATGGGGCTTTTGTTGCTGAAGGGGGGTATGATATGCCGTAGAGGCCCCGGTTTGTTGGAGTCGCGTTCGGTGACTTATTGGAGGTTTTCGGATTTTCTGGTGGCGCTTGGGGGTTTGAGTGAGCTTTAGGGTACCTCAGCTCAGGGCTTCGGCTTCAGGGCAGAGTGTGCGAGGGTTTCATGGGCTTCAGGAATTTATCGGGCTTTCCGTTGATGTTTAGGAGTGCGGTCTCAATGGTTAAGGCGGGATCTAGGGTTTTTGTTGGGGCTTGTCGAAATTTCAAGCTGCATGCTCTGTCTAGGCTTTCATTCTGTTCTTTATGGGGCTTGTCGAGATTTCACGTCCTCAAGCTTTTAAGCTGAGAAGCTGTTTATTCGAGTTTTCTGAGGGCTTCAGGCTTCATCGGTTGTAGAAAGATGTTATAATATACCATAAGGCTATCTCCTAAATGACAAGGGCCTTCCCACAAGTTCTCCTAAGCATGGAAACCCTAGCTTGAAGAACAGGTGGTGGACGGGGAGGCTTTCTTCGCGTTCGACGGCAAGCTTTACAAGGTCCAGGACCCAAAAGCGCTGCAGGAAGTGAACCGAGCACCACCGGAGCAGGTCCAGACTCCTAAGCCCAAGCGAAGTCTGTCAGACTTCAGGAAATGGTATGCCAACAGACGTGGGGTCTTCTAAGTCAGGGCACCCAGTATACCCGTAGCATCGGTAGCCACCTACCTCAAGACATAGCAGCGAGCATCTAGCTGCAAATTGGGTGCCCTAAGTTGGAAGAAGCTTCATGTCTCGGGGGAAGTGAGTTGCAGAGCGCTTTGCAACTCCTCTGGTTTCATGCTGCGACTGCCTTTGCAGTCAGCCTCCTGCAGCAGAGGCGGAGTTTCTGAAATTGAGAGTCTGTCCTTTCATGAGCTATCAGACTGTGCACTACCATGTCATGCAGATTCTCTAGGTACACATCATAGCAATGTCCATATGCTGAGTATACAGCATCATCTATATATATATATAATTATATATATATATACATTTTTACTTATTTATTTACTTATTTATTTAAAGGTTATGTGTGTTTTGCAGGCTCCTCGTCTTCTGAAGCTCTTGTCTCATAGAGCTACAGGCATTCGACGGCGCGGGCAGAAAGGACCCATGTTTGCAGCGTGTCAGCTTACTTGCAGTGGCTGCGCCCATGGTCTTTGGATGTCACTTCTGTTTCCACCGAGGTCCTACGTGAGTGCGCTCGACGCCTCAAAGGCTCGTCCGGGAGCCCTTCGTCTCCTTGTTAATTAATGTAGGGACCAAAATACTTATCAATATTATTTTGGGGGGTTCCTTTTTAGAATAACAGTATAATGGAAAACCACATTCTTAGTATTGTGGCGTCTATATATATATATATATACACATAAATATATATAAGTTGTTGTGCCAAATCGGGAGCAGGGAGCGCTGATGCAGTTTGGCTGGCCAGGCGTGAAGCGCCTTCCGAAGTTACCAAGAAGCCTCGTAAGCCGCATAAGCCTTCAAGTTAAACACTGGCCATTTAATGGGGAACCCGTCTAGATGCACATATGTATATATATATATATATATATGCAAGTATATGTATCGACTATATATATATATATATATATACATATGTATATATATATATATTAGAATATTTACATATTTATATATATATATATAGAGAGAGAGAGAGACAGAGGAAGAGCCTTGAACAGTAGGATCCTGATCGTTTCAGAGTCCCGCAAGCGGAGGTCTAATCCAAGCTCCTAAACCCTAATCCCTAAAAGCTAAATCCCTAATCGCTAAACCCGAATGCCTAAACCCTAATCCCTAAACGCTTAATCCCTAATCGCTAAACCCAAATCCCTAAACCCTCAACCCTACAATGCCAAAACCCTAAATCCTTAATCCCAAGAAACCCCCCCAGGGCAGATAGTGGCGGAGTACGAGCGCCCGGCCATGCCCAGGCCTTGACGTCGCAGGATCTTACTAAAGGGGTCGTATTATTTTTTGTCTTAGGGTTTAGGGGTTGCGAGAGAGGTTTCTTTTCGCGTTTCTGTAGGGTTAAAAGGATTAGTAGAATCGGGTGTTAGTATGGGGTCCCTGATAGTTGGAATAGGGTTTGTCGGGGTGTTTTATAGCATCACTCGGAGCCTTGAGGAACAAGACCAGCAAGTATTCAGGCTATATGCAGTCTTCTTCCTGACTTGCAGTCGAGTTCTGGGTTCCTTGTAATATCGGGGGCCGTAAAAATTACCTATGCTAATACTATTTTGGGGGTTCCTTATTATATTATACTTATAGTATAGTGGGCCCCTAAACCCTCTTCTAAAAACTAAGGCCCCTGACTTCCGAGTATACGTCTTAGAATGTCAGGTTTCTTCGGGCCCATCAAGGCCATCGTGGGGTGTTCAGCTTTGCGCACGCTTCACCGCAGAAGCCAAACCTAATCCCAAAGAGTCCAATGTACCTATATAGTAGAATGTAGGGTTTCTATATCAGGAATTACTATTATGATTTAGGGAAGTATCCCCCATAACAGTACATAGGACCCTTTGGGAATGTAGGGGCCTTATAATGGTTAAATAGGGTTTTGGGGGCTCGTTATTCTATAATTATAATATAATTGGCCCCGAAACCCTATTCTAATTGTTAAGGCCCCTAAACCCTAAACCCTTATAGTAGCCCTTATAGTATCCCGCAAAGGAACCCTTAACAGGAACCCCCCCAAAACCCTATTCTAATGATTAAGGCCCCTGTTTTTTAAACAAAGCTCGCACAGGGTTCACGGTTCTAGGATGCAGGGTGTAGAAGAGTCAGTGCAGAGCTTATAGAGACACACTTAGCTTACATGGTGTATTGGGGTGTATGTGGGGTTTAGGGTTTCGGGTTTCTGGGCAATATAGAAGCCTGAATAATTACCAATATTACTGTCAGGGTTCCTTATTCTTAATGTCATAGAAAGGGTCCCAAAACCCTACTCTAATCATTCAGGCCCCGAAATTAAAAGATTGGAGGCGAGTTGACGATGTCCCTCCGGCTGGCCTTTTAGCCGAACTCAGATGGCCTTCTACGACCCCCGGCGCCGGAGAGCTTCGTGCTTCGGGAGGTTTGGTGTTTAGGAGCGTTCGGGTCTGGGTTTAGGGTTTAGGGTTTAGGGGTTTAGGGTTTAGAGTTTAGGGTTTAGGGTTTAGGGTTTAGGGTTTAGGGTTTAGTTTTAGGGTTTAGAGTTTCGGGTTGATTGTTCAAGGGTTGCTGTCTAAGATCCTTGGTAATGGGTGTTGGCTCAGCCTGTGAAGCCAGCATCAAGTTGCATCCTGAACCTTTATTCCCCCAAAAAAACTATGTCTGTACCGTCGCCTCCGTCCTTTGTGGGTGTGTGTGTGTGTGTTTCT